AATATATAAATATATATATATATAATAAATAATATATATAAATATATATATGTATATATATATATATATATATATATATATATATATATATATATATACACACACACACACACACATTTCCGTAGTCCAACACGTGCCTGTCATCTACACTTGCCAAAGATATCCGACGCGTGTAGCTCCCAAGGGATCAATTGACCTTCTCATTCACGATTTACGCCCTTACGGTAGCTCTATCTCCGAGAAAAAACTTAATTATATCCTCTGAATCCTTTTTTTCCTTCTTCCTTTGTCATTGTTACCTTCATTAAAAAAAAAAAAAAAAAAAAAAAACTTATAGATATGATCAGATTTTTTTATTTTTCTGTCAGGTTTTTACCAGGAAAGAGATAATGGAAGGTGGGTGATGTAATACTTTCTCAATGTCAAGGTTAGGCGATGCTATCAACGAAACTTTTTGCCTTGAGATTGCTGCCTGAAACACTCGGGAATTCCTTCCATTTTTAAATATCTTTCGATAACACATTACATATGCAAATTGATAAGATAAACTTCACCTTTGCTCAATAATCTTTTCTTTTCAACCTATCATCCTATCCACTCTCAATAATTTTTTTCTTTTCAAACCATTCTCCTATCCACACGCCTTGACAAAAACACAAACACTAATTTATTTATTTTCTTAATACGAACTGAACACCTGGAAATTTCTTCAATTCTTAAATCACTTTCAGTAACTCTCTACATATGCAAATGATAAGATAAACTTCACATTTTCTCAATAATCTTTTCTTTTCAACCTATCCTCCTATCCACCAATAACAAAAACACAAACACTAATCAATTTCTTTTCTTAATACGAACTGAACACTCGGGAATTTCTTCCATTCTTAAATCCCTTCCAATAACTCACTACATATGCAAATGATAAGATAAACTTCACCTTTGCTCAATAATCTTTTCTTTTCAACCCATCCTCCTATCCACCTACAACAAAAAAACAAATACTAATCAATTCCTTTTTTTAACACGTACTGAACACCTGGAAATTTCTTCCGTATTTAAATCCCTTCCAGTAACTAAGAAAAACCTTCCCTTTCCTCAATAAACTTTCTTTTCAACCTATCCTCCTATCCACATACCTATACATTAACAAAATACAAACACTGATTAATTTATTTTCTTAATACGAAACTGAACACCTGGAAATTTCTTCCATTTTTAAATCCCTTCCAGTAACTAAGAAAAACCTCCCCTTTTCTCAATAAACTTTCTTTTCAACCTATCCTCCTATCCACCTATAACAAAAACACAAACACTAATCAATCCCTCAATTCCTTTTCTTAATACGAACTGGTATTGGCATTTCAGAACCACCACAACCACCTCCTCCGTCAACAACAGGCCAGGGAAGGAGATCACGCCATGGCCTCCTAACTTAATTCTTATCAAGATACCAGGACAGCGAGAGCGTGTAATAACAGCCGGCAGGAATCGATCATAAGAAATAAAGAGGCGTTTTCTCCCCTTCATAAGAAAAGATTGTGCGATAATAAATGTGTTTTGTTCCGATGTGTTCTTATCCTCGTTTGAGATTTAGATGAGAGAGGGAGAGGGATGGGAGGAAGGAGGGGAGGGAGAGGGAGGGGGAGGGAGGGAGAGGGAGGGAAGGAGGGAGGGAGAGGGAGGGAAGAGGGAAGAGGGAGAGAGGAGGGAGGGGGAGGGAGAACGGGAGGAGAGTAAAGAAGAGGAGGAGAATAGAGTAGAGGAGAGGAGTGGAGTGGAGGAGGAGGGGAGGGAGTGAGAGAGAGAGAGGGGGAGAAAGAGGGACAGGGAAGGGGAGGGAAGTGAGAGAGAGAGAGAGAGAGAAACACTGGTACAAAAAAACAGTAAACAGACATATAAATAAGGTATATCTTAAGCATGCATTGAGCAACCAGTATTTCAAATAACCAGTATCTTTAAGGAGTTTCATAAAATATTCAGCGCATATTCTAGGTCGATAACACAAAACTTAAACCAGCGAATTAGAAAATGGGGTAAATGTTTGTGCATCACTGTCAAAAAACAGCTAGTCCGCCCGTTAGGTTAGTCGTTTTAAGTTAGTAGAGCTAGTTTGTAGTTTTAGTTAATACATTTAGTTTGTAGAATAGTAGTGTAAGTAGATTTAGGTTGGTAGTTTTATGAAAGTTAGTAGTGTAAATAGATTAGGTTGCGTCCAGCGTAAGTATGCGTGAAAATGAGCTCTTTTCTACCTACAGATTGATACATTATGTGAAAAGACCTTGTATAGGCACTGGTAGTTTCTGTAATAATAGTGATAATGCGAAATGCTATTTTAGGTTCATAATTCAAGATTGGAATTAAGATACTGCCGAGGGTATTACTGTTGATATTTGCAGTTGTTAATACTAAATTAGCTACAGAAATATCTTCTATTACACACAAATGTACCCGGAATATTTCTAGTTCCCGTGCTTGTCCAGCACACGCTCTCTCTCTCTCTCTCTCTCTCTCTCTCTTTCTTTTCACTCTCTCTCTCTCTGAGACACACACACTCTCTTTCCCTCACACACATATTTACACATATTAAATGACAATCACAGTCATTTTCCTCTCGAGTAAAAAAACGATGCACTTGTATTTTACCAAAATTTGAAAAGTGTCTTGAAAGATGTTTTCACTAACTTCCAATTGTCTTTTGGTAACGGCAAAAAATCGCACGCTGAAATTAACTTTAATTTATTTATTTTATTTTTTTATTATTATTATTATTTTGCAAAGAGCGAGTAAATTTGCAGAATGGAAGCAAGTCTCTTTTGAATGCATGCGTTTACCATCGCCACCCTCCCTCCCGAGATGGCTGTTCTCCTGAGCATTTTACCCCACGAGTTTTATTGCAGAGAAAGCGAGAGAGAGAGAGGGGGAGGGAGGGAGGAGAAGAGAGAGAGAGAGAGGGGGGGGGAGGGAGTGAGTGAGTGAGCGAGAGGGGGGGTTATTAGAGAGAGAGCGAGAAAGAAAACGACAGAGAGCGAGAAAGAAACAGAGAGAGACAGAGAGAGCGAGAAAGAAAGCGAGAGAGCGATTATTAGATAGATAGGTAGATAGATAAATATATCTAAGCCAAGAACGTGTTTTCATCTTGTTTCGCGTCAGACGTGGTATAATTATCCCAGAGTCGGCACTGCATAACGATATGGAATTTAGGTAGTTTATGTAGCCCATTACCTATTGTGGTTTATGCTTGATTATAATCGTTTTTGACTAGTTATGTTTATTAGACATCTAAAAACAATGGTATCCTTGAGTGTGGTACGTGTTTCTCATTAGAAATTCTTTCTAAACTACTTTTCCTGTCGAATCCTTGAAACTTTTCACATTCCCAATTTCTAACTTTTATCGTACCCACTTACAAGTGCGATTATAAACCTTAAATACAATTTGAATAAATAGATAGCGAAATTTGAATAAATAGATAACGAAATTTGAATAAATATATAGCGAAATTAATCTGCATAAGAACAATTCTATGTCTGTATACGACTTAGAACATGACTGGTTAACCTAAAGTGAGAAATCTCTACCACCTAAGGTACAAGTAAATAGTACTATATAAACACAGCAATAAACAAGTAAAATATATAAATATCCACTTAAAAATGGCTTAGCAATGCATTCGGAATCAAAATTTGGAAATCTACCAAGTCGCTGTTTTGTTACACTTGACATTCCTGCTTGAATTTTGAGTAATGAGGCTTATAGTGACAAGATAAAGGTGAGTAGTTCACCTGAGAAGAAATTACGGATAGTTCAAATTCACAGACATCCCAGATAAAACAAACAAACCAACATCATCATAGTTCAGACCTCTGTTTCAGGATTTCAAAAGAATATACATGCATACGTTTCCTCACAGCTGTTCAGCATTTCAAAAAAAAAAAAAAAAAAAAAAAAAAAACATGGTCATCACATTTGTACAGATTATCTCTACGCTAATCTCGAATCCCAGTAGCGCTCAACAACGCCTATTACACAGGACAGTGAAATTACAGGCTTATCACCGAGTCGTATACTTTATTACATAGCACCACAAAGCACCATTATGGGACCATCAAAGCACAGGCGGGGATTTCTTGCCGTGTCCACAGATCAATGTCAAGACGAGTGGCACTCTCAAGGTTGTGCCAAGGGAGGGGGGTGTTTGGAGGGAGTTGTGGAAGGGGTGGAGAGGGAGAGGGAGGAGGAGGGAGAGAGAGAGGGGAGGAAGAGGGAGGAGAGAGAGGGGAAGGGGTGGGAGGAGGAGGGAGAGAGAGAGGGGAAGGGGTAGAGAGGGGAGGGGGGGAGGAGGGAGAAGAGAGAGGGGAAGGGGTGGGAGGGGAGGAGGAGACGAGAGAAAGGAGAAAGAGGAGGGTAGGAGGAGAGAAGGGAGGGGGAGGGAGAGAGAGAGATTGGGGAAAGACAGGGAGAGGCAGAGACATACACACACACAATGATAGATATAGATAGACCGAATGATAGGAAAATAAAAAGATATACAAACAGACATAAAATTATACCAAGGTAAACGCAAAAACAGCTCATTATACCAGTGATGGAATTGCTAGCTACGAATGATTACTCAATTTTTTTTTTTTTTTTTTTAATTCATACACAATCATAAAAAAGAAATAAAAACTACAATAAGGATACAATCTATCTTAGAACTACAAAACGACAGTAACGAGGTGACAGTATATTGCATGTAAGCGTTTTAGAAGCAACATTCTTTTAAAACACTCCATCACTCGCTCCTTTAATCGGCGACTCAAAGACATCGCGTGTAAACACAAATGTCATAATGATTTGAAATATCGCCCGCATCAAATATTTATGAATTCCAAGTGTCCTGCTTCGATACATCATTTTAGCGTGGCTGGGTCGTGCAGGCAGGGTGAGTAATAAGAATACTTAAGGGCGATAGAAAGAAAGAAAGAAAAAAAGAAATAAAAATAAAAGCAGTGTTGAAGGTTAAATATTTGTAAATCGCTTGTGTTTATTTGTTCGCTTTTTCAAAGGGTTTTGAAAGCCCGATATGAATTATGGATTCTTCTTAAAGGTCTTCGGTTTATGATCTTGATAATGTCGTGTTTTTTTCTTGAGCAACATAACGACCGCCTGAGAAGACGCTACGATTGCTCACTCCTCACCCTCGCCTACACCTGCAACGACACAAAACGGACCATTCAGAAAAAAAACGAGATTTGCGTACTGGGAAACAACACAATATCGCCACAATATCTTTATTACTCTTTCTCTCTCTCTCTTTCTTTTTCCACCCCCTTCTTCCCTTTTCTCTTTCTCTTCTCACTTCCTTTCCCCCATCCCCCTCTCCTCTCTCTCTCTCCTCTCTCTCTCTCTCTCTCTCTCTCTCTCTCTCACACACACACATACACAGCACACACACACACACACACACACACACACACACACACACACACACACACACACACACACACACACACACACCTCACACTCACATCCACATATCACATTATACAGAACAATTAAAATAATAAGCTATAGCGTGTTCAAATCTCATAAATTCCCGTCTTTGTTCACGCGTTCGCACCCGTGATTAAGTCTATGTTGTGGGCCCTATAATTGCCTCATTAGTCACTGTTATGCAACTATGCAGAGGATAAGACATTGCCAACGAGATAGACAAAGGGAGTGGGAGTTGGGGATGGATGGGGAGGGAGAGGAGGGCGGGGGGAGGACGAATTCAGGGAGTACACCTTTCGCATAAATAAAGTTAATTTTTGGCGTTTTACTGCGCGTTAATCCGAGTGCTATTCGCGTTTAGGTTGGTAAAACAATGGAAGTGGTCTAGAAGGTCAAATGTCTGTAATTTTAACGAAAATACAGGGTTGGTGGAAAGACGCGGCGTGGATTTGGAAAGGTGAATGTCAGACCGGAGTTTGTAACGGAATGTAACCAAATATATTTTGTGCTCTTTTTTCATAAATAAATTCAAATGCTTATTACATATTTCCCTACATCATAGATTTACCCGGATTTTAACTCTATATATTCTTTATCGTTTAGATCAGGTTTTAATAGCGAAACGGATGATCTGTCAGAAAGTAAAGCAAATTAACCCTTATATATTCTCTCCGTAAGAAACAAACATGAAGTTCAAGGCAGATCGATGGCCAGTCATTCCTTGACAATATTTGACATTTAACGTCTAATATATGCATTCAGTTGTTGTGTCAGGACAACAAACCATTACTCTCAGCAATAAATATTTTGTGTCAAGGAAGTTTTAGTCAACTGAACAAACATCAAATAATGTCATTTAAGAGTTTATATCTTATTGAGCCCATAGTGTTATCTTATAAATAACACATGGTAAGAGTTTATATTTAATTCAGCCTATAAAGTTTTCTTATAAATAACACATGCTCAATGAGACTGTATCAGTGTACCTTTTTCTAAAATGAAAGGGTGCATAACATTATTATAAAAAAAAAAAAAGTCCAAATAGATGACGGTTAGCCTACAACCTCCACCATATGATCGCGTAATATATTCATACAAACCTATACATTGCGAGGACCAAGCTTATAAAGTACCCGTGTCGGAAAATATATAAAAGAAATAAATACACTAATAAATAAATAGAAAAACAAAAGAAAATAACAAAATAGAGGGAGACAAATAGAATTTTGTCGATTCAATGGCCGACTTGTCCTCCCACTCTACCTAACCTAAACCAGTTGCATCGTTCGGTCGTTACTTCTGCCCTAAACGTGTAATTGCGAGAAGTCCTTAGCGATAGCATGAATAATGCTGATAATATGCTTTGTTGATATATGCGAAGGTCAAGGTAATACGAGGGTCATGTTTTAGAAGAAAAGAGAAAAAAAATGTATGTTATGTCGCGTACGTGTTATCTGGCGCGGAAAACACGAAACAGCTGTTGTTTTAAAAGTGAAGATCTGATATTTCTTTCTGGTCGGATTTGAGGCATTCACATAATTCTGTGTATGGACATTATGCATAAAGATGTATATGAGGATAAGTATATCTTGAGAGACCATGTTTCATCTCAAGAATAAGCTCATCCGTTAAAATAATTCAACTTGGCTTCTGGAATATTTTCGTGTGACATTTTCCAGTGTCATTTCCCTGTCACCGAACTTGTCACTAGGAGGACTATATTCATCGCTTGTATCATTTTCTATGCTCGGAATATTATACATCAAAATGCTTTAAAGTGAGAAGTCAAATATGAGAAGATACATGCAACACATACATACACACACACACACACACACACACACACACACACAACACACACACACACACACACACACACACACACACACACACACACACATACACATACACATACATACATACACATACACATACACACATACACACACACATATATATATATATATATTATATATATATATATATATATTGATACTGAGACTCCTTTTATATTCTAAAAGTACAGGCAATGGATTTGTTCTATTCATTTCTGACGTGTTCGCGAAATTATTTATTCAGTATCTAATACTTCAAAAACTAGACGCCATTTCATTGACTTTTCAGATAAGAATGTTGTTTTATTCGAAATACCAAGTCGCAATCACTGGTAATATTTAAATATCAAAATATATACTCAACGCTAGTACCTGAATTTAACCGTTAATTTGAAAGTGATTTAAAAATGTAGAAACCGGATTTCATGCATTGGTTGAATATCTAATTTCTGAAGCTGATTTTTTTTTTTTTTTTTGTGAAGCAACAGTTTTAATTTATAGTATATATATATATATATATATATATATATATATATATATATATGTATAATATATATATATATTCTCTCTTCTCTCTCTCTCTCTCTCTCTCTCTCTCTCTCTCTCTCTCTCTCTCTCTCTCTCTCTCTCTCTCTCTCTCTCTCTTCTCTCTCTTCTTCTCTGGCAAGCAATGTGTTCTCCAAAATAAAATTCAGATAATTAAACTCTAGAGTAATTTTCCTCAGTAACTAATTAAATATCGTACTATAATACAATACCAAAATACGAATAACACAGTTTAAAAAGTTTATCACTATGACTTCACTATCCTCAAAACGACAAACATGTCTAAACCTATGCCTAGCTCAGTGATTCCCTCCTATTTTACACTCTCGATCCCTTTCTTAAATATTCGTGACCCCCAAGTCAGCTATTCCATTAATGTTTTCTTTTTCCTCTCTCTACGTACAGTATTTTTAGATTAAGAGAAAAAATAGCCATCTTTATTTGCTTAAAGGTAATACGATATTCCTTGAATATAAATTTCGTCTTAATCAAGAAATTTCTCTGTTCACGCACTCTCAAGCAAGGTTGCTTGGCGACTCCCCGACACACACAAGCATGTTCGTTATCACACACGCACACACATGCACAGACACACACATATTTATCGCCTCATGAGAAACCAAGATTTTTTTTTCCATCTTTTGATTTTTTTAACCATCATTTACTCCTAATATATCAAAAGTCTACACGAGAGGTTAGACGCCATCGATTTTGTATTCTTTTTTTTTCCCGCCCTTTCCACCGCGCAAGACAAATGACGATCGACAAGCGCATTCATCACGCGAGTCCAAGATAACACCCCACGTTTAGGACATCTAAGTTGATTTACCAAATATAAATGTTGCTTCCTTCTTCCCCTTGGAACAACGCATGACGTAATCTCTCTGTTTAACGTTGTTTGAGGTTGATAACGAGTCCAATTAACATTATATAAGACCGAAACATTTTCCAAGGTCAAGATCTCTCTCTCAAGCGTGTTTATAACCCACAAACTGTATTTTCTCTTTTTCGTCTTTCTATTCTCGACCCAATGCGAGGAAATTCTCTATAGCTTTAACGGACTTTAAAAAAATATTCATTTGATTTAAAGTCATTATAAATAGAACAAATTATGAGGGTACGTGTAAATATCTTCTGAAAAGATCTCTGATAATCATGCAATAATCTGGCCAATAATAAGAAAGAAATGAGAAATAAAGAGAATAAGGAATAAATAAGATATAATAATAATAAGGGATAAATAATAAGGATAACTAATAACATATATAATAATAGGATAAATAATAAATAAGATATATAATGAAATAAATAATAATGAAGAAATAAGATACAATAATAATAATAAAAATAAGATAATAATAATAGTGAAGATATAAGATATAATAATAGTAAGGAAGAAATAAGAAGGTGTGATATCGACATTTGTGGCAAATGCTGAAGAGGAAAAATAGAAATAGATTTGATTCTGATCATTACGTATTTCACATTGTGGAATTATTCTTATGAGGCGATAAATATGTGTGTGTTTTTGTGATAAGGCACATGTACGTTTTATTACATCCGTTTCATATAAAAAATCGAAAGATATAGTTAGAATCTCTTTAGGGATGATACGGGATAGAATATTATATATAGAAAACATGCCTTGGCGGGAAAAATCGTGACTTTAGTACTTTCATCAAAGAATTCGACTCGATAAAATTGAGGAAAAATAAATGATTACACACTTTACAAATTCCTCCCTCATTTCATAGTTCATTAATAACCAACTACCTCAGAATGCAAAATACCCGTACGTTCAGCAAGTACAAGCAAACTTATTAAAGGGTTTTGCAATGAGGTTAACAACGCAGAGTTCGACACGGAACCCAACAAGGAACGCTTTAGTATATCCAGCACAGTTCGTTCACTTCAACGCGAATTACCGAAACATGCATGTACCCGCCGCTACTCTTACTTCTTAGGAGGAAAGTAGTTATTTCGGTAATGACAAGGGAACGCGGTTTTGCTATTTATTGATTTCTCCAATTATCGTGTGAGTGAGACGGAGAGGGACAGAAAGAAAGAAGAGGGAGATAGATACATAGAGGGAGAGAGTAGAGAGAGAGAGAGAGAGAGAGAGAGAGAGAGAGAGAGAGAGATGAGAGAGAGAGAGAGAGAGAGAGAGAGAGAGAGAGAGGAGAGAGAGAGAGAGAGAGAGAGAGAGAGAGAGAGAGAGAGAGAGAGAGAGAGAGAGAGAGAGAGAGAGAGAGAGAGAGAGAGAGAGAGAGAGAGAGAGAGAGAGAGAGAGAGAGAGAGAGAGAAGAGAGAGAAAGACAGAGAAATAAAAGAGATAG